GCACTGGGACAGGGTTAGGTTGGATATCAGGACAAGGTTCTTCCCCCAAAGGGTGTTTGGGCACTGGGACAGGTTTAGGTTGGATATCAGGACAAGGTTTTTCCCCCAGAGGTGTTTGGGCACTGGGACAGGTTTAGGTTGGAGATCAGGACAAGGTTCTTCCCCCAGAGGTGTTTGGGCACTGAACACCTCCCCAGGGCAGTGGGCACAGCCCCAAGGCTGACAGAGCTCCAGGAGTGTTTGGATCACACTCTCAGGCACTAGGTTGGATTGTTGGGGTGTCCTGTGCAGGAGTTGGACTTGGACTGGCTGATCCTTATGGATCCCTTCCAGCTCAGGCTATTCCATGATTCCATGAACCCAGAGCCACCTCCTGAACCCAAAACAAACCCACTCTGCCCACACACTGCAAAGTTGGTGACCTCCAGCCAGACCTCCTTGTACCTCCTGCCCAAACCTTCTGCAAGCCCCACCAGCTCCCCAACTCCTAGAGGGCTGCAGGACTAAATTCCTGCTTCTCCTGAGCAAGGAGAGGACAACCCTGGTGAGAGGGACCATGCAGGGCACAGTGGCACTGACCTTAAAGAGGCATGGCAGCCCCACACCCTCGCAGCACCTTCTCATGGCAGGACCATCCCTCTGGGGGCAGCTCGGGGCTCTCGGGGCTGCAAGCACAAACCCAGGGAGACTGGTTAAAAATTTGCCTTTTTCCTGGTTGCCACCTTCAGGCACCAACCCCTACAGCCTGCTCAGCCTCTGTGTCCTGCCCCGAACTCCCAAGCTCAGGACCTTTTGTCCCAGGATGGAGGAATTAGAGGAGTCTCCGGAGAGAGAGAGAGAGATGTTTAATGCCTGTGATCCTTTCTAATTCCCTCCCTCCCTCCTTCCCTCCCCCCTGGAGTGCACGTGAAGTCAGCCAGGAGAACAGCACTAAACCCCAACAACACATGCCCTGCTCCCAAATTACCCTGATTTCCTTGCAGTGTAATTAGTTTGGGGTGTTTCCTTGGATGGAGTGATTATCCTGGAATGACACCAAGAGCTCAGGCAGCTCCAATGAAGATGTGCAGCTCCATCTCTGCAATTCTGCAACTTCTTGTGGTCCAAAGCCATGGGGAAACCTCCAAAACTCAACCCCACGGCTGAGAATTCAGGAATAACACACTGGGATGTGGGGAATTTAAACTGGGACACCAGTAGCTTGGCTGAACTGGGAGCCAGGAGGCTCCAGAGATTTGTCATCAGCACGACAAGAGGAAGAGTTTTTGCAGCTGAAGGTGATTTGTGGGGGATTTAGTTGGATTCAAGCCCAGCAGTAAAAACTATTTTGGGCACAAACACGATTCATGACTCTGCTAAAATAACAAACTGTGGCTGCACCTCAATGCTGGCACCCAGCAAAGGGCCCTGAAGTGAAACCTTGGGTTGAAACCTTGTCAAAGCTACTTTTTTTTTGTGCCACCCTGAGCCAAACACTGCTGATTTCTTTACTTGAACCAGCCATGAAAAAAAGCTGCTGTTTATTTCTTTGGAGGCAAATCATTACCACACAGCCAGGCTGGGAGTGGGATCAGCCACTGCTTTTTTTATTTTTCAGGGCCAAAGCAAGAGAGACAGACACAAAAAAAAAAAAAAAAAAAAAAAAGAGCATGAAAGAGGAATTGTAATTTTGGTCAGTGCGTTCTGAAGTGTTGCCAGGAGTGAGGAAATAATTGGGGCTGAGCCTTAAGGAGATTTTGTGGTACTGATGGATAGGGAA